TGCTTTTGTTTACACATCTTTCTTTTGAAGAAATAGCCAAGGAGAGCAGAGTGATACACATCTGACTCATTCATGTAACACACAAATCGGTTCAAGTAAATCCTTAGCAAGCAACGCCTTCAAGTCAGACAGGTTCACTTGAGAGCTGTCATTTAACTTCAGGCACTAACTACACTCTTCCTTTCCTATAAAAGAATATTTCCACCCGCAATTCCCACCTCTTCCTCCTAAATATGACTCAAAGAAAAAGTCTCATTTATAGCTTATTGCATCGTACTGTCCATGTACAGTACAATTTTTTCGTACAGCACAATCTTTTTCACTAGTAATCAATGTTCAGGGTTCTCAAATATGCAGAGCACTTAAAATTTCAAGAGTCCTTACAAAACTCCTCTCCATTACAAGTTTACTTAAGTAGCTCTCAAGCCATTCAGTAATGCTGATTGACTAGTGGGAAGGCTATTCCCCCCTATTGGTAGAGCACACAGTTTTTGAAAACATCCTTACTTCAAAGAGTCACTTCACAGCAATGTGGTACAGATTGCTTAAGTTCATCCTTGTCCATCGGACCAGGTTGCAGCTCTTCCTCTAAGCAAAAGGCTGTATTGATCCTTCTCTTCCAACCACAGACTGTTTAATTCTCCTTTCTCACTCCTTCATAGCTTGTACTTCAGTCAAAATTAATATTTCAGCAACGTAGCAGACCACCTCTATGCAGCACAGATTTTCTACATACTTCATGTCTTATGTGATGAGATGTGTAACAAATTAATAAAGGCCTTTCCAGACTGTAATTAAGAGCATAGACTAGGGCAGCACTGATATCATAACACTCATATTTTGATTCTCACAGTTAATAATTCCTAACATGGAACAGATTTTAATATAGAAAATATTCAAGAAAAAAAACCAACCTAGAATAATTAAGTAGGAATTAATTCAAGAAGCCCATTGCCTGAAGTCAGGCAGGCACACCAAAAGAGCACAGAGAAGTTTAGGCTAGAAAAATGGTTGTTCCTCACAGACTTTCCTATTGGTAAAGAGAAGAATGGAATTACAGGCACCCTGAAGGGATAACAACAACAACTAGAAAGCAGCTTCCAGTTGGCAATGCTAACACTTTTGATAAATTGGCAATAGCTAAGTAAAACAGAAAGAAACACTTTTAACTTTCAGCATTTGATTACTTTAACAAATGAAATCTGAAACATGAAATACATAGACAGCAATCCCAAAAAGTTTGAAGAGTATCTGAAATATTAATGACTCATCCATAGACATAAAATTACCAACCAGATATTGATAGGTCCTTGGCCAATTCATTCTGAGCTCAAACAAAGCTAAGATAAGCATCTCTGTGATCCAAGATGCATGCATTATTTAGCATTAGCTGCACATTTGTTCATTTATGTAGACAGATGCCAACAGGATTTATGTGAGAGGTTACCAGTTTCTGCTTAGTTTGAAATGTCCTGTTCTCTCTCTGAAAGCTAAATTACAGTGATTCATATCATTTAGGTACTCTTTATATTTTAGCAAAAGCACACCTTCAAAAAACTACAGTCAAGAGACCTTTCAGCAGAAAAGCGAGATACAAAGCTCTCAGCGCCTCTCCAGAGAACAAGGTGTCAACATCTGCATTGTGTCCTCTTGTACACAGGTGTGACTCTAGATATTTCCATATGCACAAAAGCAGCCTGCTGATTTTCCATAGTACTTCTGTAGCTTTCCTTTTCTAGCAGAAAAAAATATCCATATAGAGGCAGTCTTTTGGGATTGGGTGCTTGCGTGGGTGTTTTTGTTGGTGGTGGTTTTGGTGGGGTTGTTTTTTGTTTGGCTTTTTTTTCATGGTCTATGCAGCTGATCAAAATTTGCAACACACACTAAAATTCTAAATGAATATTCATAAGGAGGACTAGGAAACAGAATGAAAGGGAAAACCTGAGCTGGTAAAGACAAGCAACAGTGAGAAACTGGAATTACAGAAAAAACACTTGCAATAAACTCTGAAAAGACAACTGCCTCCACTTTCTTTTTCCTATAGACATTCCCTGTGTCAGTAGTTTTGCAGATGAGTTTTTTTTACACTTCAGGATGTGAATGTAATCTCACTATCAAAGACAAAGACATTCTGGGAATAATTAAAATAGGAAATTTGTGTTCCCTTACTTAAGCTTCCTCTTGCCCTGGCCCTGCAAGACACAGAGCACAAAGTCAACATCCGGACAGGACATGCTCATTGCTTGACTGCACTCAGCATTTAGTATATGATAAGACTATGAACTACCTCAGACAACAGAAGTTTGTCTGAACAATGCAAAAACCAGCCCAATATGTATAAATATTTGCTACATCCTGAAAGATTTCTGTTAATCTGGAAAATGTAGGCTAAATCTGTAGCCACCCTGATTGAGGTGGTTAACATTGCTGTTGGTAATGTCTGTTTTTAAAGCACAGGGGAATTACTGATACTTAAAACAAAAACAAGTTTAAAAATCAAATTGCAAACCATTTATTTCCTCCTGTCCAAATAAACCTCAGTAGCACACAAATAATATGAGCTAACCTAAACTGTGATATAATACAGTACTTATTTATCTAGCATTGTTGAAGCCAAGCACTGACTAGGGGAGATACAAAGAGAG